AGGTAGAACGCAATATCCACACAATTTTTGTGTGCCATTGATGAAACCCGCTTGAGGTTCATTTATCTTAAATCTCCGGTGATGTTAGGTGTAGGTGCTGCAAAAACTGGTTTCATCTATATTAAGAAAATTTATAAAAACCAAGCCCATGAACTGTGCCGTTTGAGTCACTACTGAAATTTCCATTGATCTTGATACATATATAGGGATTGCCTCTTGTCAAAGCTCCTTTCAGCGATGATAATCTGTTTGTTGTAATTCTACACATCTTCCTATACGATGGGGTGCTTGAGGTAGTGCTTAAGTATATTTGTCGCGGAGTTCTACAAGCAGGCTTTATTAATTGCCTTTTTGGGATCAGGTTGCTGAACTTTGAATTATTAGGCGTTGTGCGTGTAGTCCTAATTCAAGTAGATAGAACAGTCTACCTGGTAGTACTTTAAAACAAACCACCGGTAGCTGGAGCAGTTTGTTAATTGCAATAAGAGGAGACGATTAAACTGATCGAAATACTGTCTTTTCTTTTAGGTGGCTTGGACTTTTTCTTTTCTCTACGTTCCGAAGCCGTCGCCTTTGTAGATTATGTTAGTAAGCTTGTCCCTTGCCGAGTGCAGACCTCCCAACAGCTGAAGTCCCATGATGTGCACAGCAATACATATAATTACAAATTTACCTTCTGCCTTGATGTCGTACCCATCTGCAAGAATGATGTGGTCTGTCTTTCCAAACAGTTTTGCAATCGCCTTGGCTTGGGTAATCAAATTCTTCTTGTGAGTAGAATCACCGACAAGATTCGACTGTTGGATCCTGTTTCCTGTGTCGCTAAGGACATTGATGTCCAGACCTACTATGCTAATCCCTTCGCGTCGATTTCGAGTCCTCGTAATGTGTCAGAGTTCTTTGTGATGGATGTAGAGAGTGATGCCCATGGCAAAATCCAGTCGTCGCCGGCAGAACCTGAGGTTGAACAGGTCAACATGAAACCTGCAGGTGTTTGGGTAGTTCCATCGGCTTACTTGGGAGTGGAAGGGGAAGATGGTGAACAGATCTATGTCCGTACTCACCTTGGACACGTAGTCAAAATTGGAGACTCGGTTATTGGGTAGGTTCATTTATTGTGGCTTTTCATGCGGCTTTGCACAGCGGTGTTAATGGTATTATCTATAAAAAACCTCAAACATGCACTCCTGGACTGTGCAAGTAGCAAAAAATGTTGATATAGTATTTGTTAAGGAAAATTACATAATCGGATGGATCCCGCACTTATCTTCTGATGAAGTGAAACCATCTTTGGGACTTTATAATCCCTGTTCTTAGTTGTCAATCAGGAACAGCTTTCCCTTTTCAGACTAGATCTGAGGAACGCAAACATAAATAATGTGGAATTTGAAAATATTCCGGAAGAGAAAAGACCACAAGTGGTCCTGATTCAACGCCTTTGTTCCTCTTCCAATCGAAGACGTCGACGGCACCGGGATTGTGTATCCTTGGATGGGGAGAGCGTTATGGAGACGGAAACTGCGCCCACCACTGAAGCTGGCTTGGTTTCCGATACGGAAATGGAAGGCAACGAAGACAATGCTGGTGACAGCGATGATACGATTTCAGAGTACTCCGACAGTGAGTACATGGATGCTGAAGAAGGTACATTTATCGGATGATGGGAATTTGACCATTCGTTGATCTTTACACTAACTTTTTTCATGTACTTCTTTTAGAAGTGGATGAAGGAGTCCTAATGGGAACTGGTCAGTGATTGGTTGTACTCAGTTGTCTTATCCCGTTACTATCCTAACTTAATGTACTCTTGATGATGAGTCTGGTCTTTTTCCTCGTAACAAGTTCCGGGGTAGCTGGCGATGTGTGGGTCGAGTCTCCGTCACTGAACATGTCATGGCTCTTGGGGGGTCCAGCTTCACTGCTGTATGAGTTCGTATTGTATTGAGCTTAATACTGAGTAGCTTTGAGCTAATAGTCAATGCACTTTCTTGTGAGGTCAAATCATTTACTCGAAATATGTCGCTTAACAATTCACCGCCTTTAAGTTTGCCAAAATTATGCGCGCTATTTCGAAATCGTGTGTGTCTACTGCGTTATTTGAGCACTGTTTCAGCTGAGTAATGTCAAGTCATGTC